TCCCGAACACTCGCTGGATGATTGGTTTTTCAAGGTGGCTCGCGCTGGTTCTCAGGGCCCTACCCCAATGCCTTTCTTCCCAGAGGTGCATGTTGAGCTCACTGGGTCGTGGATGGCACCTTTCACTGCCAGAAACCGCCTAGGTGGCTCATCCTCCCTCACCACCCTCGACGGTGGGGCAGCGCGGGTGTATACGGCGATCCCTCTGGTGGAGCAGTCGGTTGCGATGCAATTGTCTAAATACCGCTGCCACCTGGCAAGGCAAGCCGTTGCTCCCCTCCCGGGCATGAAGGTACTCATCGGACCTGACCGGCTGTGCTTATGCGGCTTGCGGAGAAGATGCCTCTGCCCTACATGCCATGGCGTTGTTGCAGGTTCATCAGGCCAAGGCACTGAAGGACCTGCACGAGGGTGGGGATGACCCAGAAGTTCTTAAAGAGCTTCGCACCGCTACTGACCATGCGCTACGGGTGACGAAGTTCACTGCGCGGTCTCTGGGCCATTCGATGTCCACTATGGTGGTCCAGGAATGCCATCTCTGGCTGTGTCTGGCCGACATGAGGGAGACTGATAAGACTCAGTTTTTAAATGCCCCTGTGTCCCAGACCGGCCTCTTCGGCAACGCAGTGGAGAACTTTGCCCAGCAGTTCTCCGTCACACAGAAGCAGACCGAGGCCATCAAACACATCCTGCCCCGGTGTGCAGCTGCTGCCTCGTCGCCGAGGGCAGCCCCCTGCCGCCACCCCTGCTCCCGTACAGCAAATGCAACAGCCTCCAGCAAAGCAGTGCCGTGGAGCCGGCCGCAGAGCAGCTGCCCCGCCCGTCCAGGCCCCCGCCAAACCTGGTGGCAAGCGGAAGAGCAAGAGGCCCTGAGACGGGCGACCCAGAGATGGAGGAAGCTGCTCTTCGGGAGATGGTGAACGCACCCTCTGCCCGAACGCAGGTAAGTGTTGCACACACACTGACCCCGCTTCGGACCGGCAACGAGATGCCCAGGCCGGGTCCCTGCATTCCCCCTCGCTGCCCCACCGCGGGTACGTCAGTGGTTCCGTTGGTGCCACTTGTACGGTATCTGGGAGCCTGGCTAGCACTCCCCAGTCCGTCTCGTTGGCTCCTTTAGACCATCAGACTCAGCTATGCGATTCAGTTCCTCCTCCCGGCATCCTCCGAAGTTCAGGGGCATCCACTTCCCTTCAGTGAAGGCGGCAGATGCCCCTGTCTGTCTTGCGTGCAGAGACCGCAGTCCTACTGGTGAAGGATGCGATGGAGCTGGTCCCTCCAGCCGATATGAAGACGGGGTTTTACAGCCCTTACTTCATTGTACCCAAGAAAGGCAGTGAGTTAAGACCCATCTTGGATCTGCATGTCTTTAACCGGGCCCTTCACAAGCTTCTGTTCAAGATGCTCATGCAGTATTCAGTACTGCAGTATGCTGTATCACGCATGCATTTTTTCCCCTCTCTATTTAACAGCATTAACTTACAATGAAAGATGTCTTCCCTCAGGTAGATTGAATGAAAAAATAATAGATGTCCTACCTTAATGGATGTTGGGCTCATGATCAATAAGTTGTTTGCATTCACCCAAACTGATCTGACAAAATCAAAACGGTAAGGTAATTGCCTCTAGCGCGAGTCCCGCTCGCTGTAAAGCGTGATCAGCCAGCAGAGGATTCCACTTGGTATTAAAGCCTTCCTCAAATTGCTAGTTCACAAATAAAACAATGATTTGCGCAAAAAGAATGATTAATTATCAGTTGAGAATCTGTTATTGATATGGTCTAGTGAAAATAATAATATGGGCTGCAAGAAAATAATAAATAAAAAGAGTGGGGCTGCTATGAGTGCAGGCAGACAACATCCATATTTCAGCCCAGTGGCATGACAACACCAGCCCTCGTGACCAAAAATACAGACCGGCCCCCTGGGAATCCTCCCGGTGCTCCCGATTAGCCAATCCGGGCCTGATTTAGGCTGTTGGTACATATAGTAATGGACACAAAGCAGAACTAAAACACTTTTGTCAAATGACCAAGCAGCAGTACGTTAGAATCTCAAAATTCCCAAATATCTAGAAATATTTTAGTCTATAAAAACTGCTTTATTATAAAAATTTTAAAGGTTTACACACAAATCAATAAACCAGACATATAAAAACAGTGCCTCGACTCCTTGACAAATGGATGCACATATGTACATATTATGGACAGCAGATGGGGCCAAAAGTCATTAAACAGAAAGAGTTAAATTTGGCATTGTCAACACTGTTTGTCCAGGTTAATGCACACACAGCAGGCGCATATTACTAGGCGCATATAGTCTCAAATACAGCAATTTCATTAAATTGCAGTATTTGAGACTATATTTGCATATGTGACGCAAACGTACGCTGGTATATATGTATATAACACATCAGAGGCCATGTTTATTCATGACGAATGCCCTAATGGCACACTGGTATACATGTACGTAAACATTAGACATGGGACACTATCATACACCCTGGCGCAATGTGGCGCAAATTTTTTTTTGTTTTTTTGTTATTTAAAGAGCGCGTTAGTAATATGCGCCTATAGACGGGTGCACAACATGCGTACACTTTGCTTATTACACACACAGGGACGCGCAGCAGCACACAAACATTTTTAAAAATTAAATTGGCGCGAGCGCAACTGGTTTTTAAGGGAATGAAAGATGAAACTCTGATTGGTTTATGGCACGTTACGCCCAAAACACAACCATTACTCATTAAGAGAATAGGGACAACCCTTTTAGACCATGCACCGGGTGCGCCGACCATTTTTCCTGTCCTTAAACTAGCAAAAGTGGATTCGGACATGCCCTAAGCGCAATAGCACTGTGCGCTTTAGACCATGCGCTTAGATAATTAAAATAGGGCCCATTATATTTGTCCATTAGGGAAAATGCATAGTAGGTAATTGTGTGTGATGTCAATCTTATGTCATGATTTGTCATGTCCTTTGTAATTGTTTAGTTCAGTGTTCTTTATCAGATAGAAAAGTCTTAATTTACATTGTAACATTCATTAATTTACTTAGCACAATATATATATATATATATATATATATATATATATATATATATATATATATGTAAAGCAATGCCACAATTAATTAAAGAATGGATTAATATGTGGGTAAATCTAGACATGTTTGAACATGGCCAGAATGAGACACTTTCAAATTTGTTGTCATAACATGGTGAAACCGTGCATCTTTACACGAACTATAGAAATACTGCGAAAACTAACACCTTAACATGGCCACAATGTGCGGGTCTCCACAAATAAAAAGAAATGCATTAAAAATTGACACGTTAATGTGGACAAATAGTGACTATTGACACGGTCAAATTTCACTCACTCCATTTAAAGACTTTTGGCCCCGTTCACTTTCCACAGTCAATAAACCAGTAATAGTTTATTAAAAAACTGCCTCGACGCCTTGACATCAACAGATGTACATATAGTGCACAAGGCTGACAGTCGATATAATGTTGATAAAGATATACAACAATTTTATATATTTGTTGTGTAAATGCATGTTTTACACAGTGTCGGACCGTTAATCAGTATGTGCAATATAATAAATTGTCTATTACTAAACTGCTAATTAAAGACAAGCAAATCCAAAATTTATATAAGCTATGTCCTATGCAAATGACAATATAAAGGACACAAATATTCTCTGCCATTAACAATGCATTGTAGCACTGGAAACATTCAGTCCAGTTTGTCCTCTTTGCATCTCCTGTAGTTAATACTAATTACATGCTTTGCTTCCTGATACAGTGTGTACATTTATAGCGTGCTCTTTATCTTTATCCTTTTCTTAACCCTCAAGCATCCTTCATATAGCAGCCCTTGATTTGTCCTTCGTAGACAAATTTGGGCACGAAGGTTTCAGCTGTGAATGCGATTTTATTTTCTTAAATTTTATTTGTCTTCGATAAAATAAAAACTATCAATTTATGATTTTTGGTGTTTTTTAATTTATTTACCTCTAATAGTACCAGATTTTTTTAACATAAAATATTCTTTTTTTATGTTATATTTAATATTTCTTATACTTCAGTAAAAAAAAATCATTCCAGTAAGTTCAGACAGCCAAAACCTAAAATGTTGGTGAGTTTGGTGACATCTGGTGACATATGATGGTATAAAAATATAAAAATATAAAAAAATATCAATAGCCACTATATATGGCTGTAGTACTCGATGGCTTTTTTCAATTTGCATGTGTTTTCTTAAGTTGCAGCGCGTTGAGCTCTCTCGGCCACCGTAGATTTTTAGATTTTATCACAAATTAAAAGTGTAGAATTAAAAAAAAAAATCTGTAAGGAAAAGGCAAAGTAGGAGACAGAGTAATCATTTATTTCTAACAAAAAACATCAAATTTCAATAACTCAAAAAAGTAAAATGGAACCAAATGGTGCCAAACAAGTAAGAATAAACAACAAACCTAACAAGTAGCATGTTTTAGACCTTTTTTTTTACATTTTCATAAACAAATCTTTCAGTAGAACTTTGATCTGAATTTGAAGTGTGTGTGTGTGTGAGTGTTAGTGTTTGCCACATTGAGAATGTTGTATAGACTCAGCACTTCATTTATGTGTATGTATGATCTGCATTGTGTTGGATTTATAGATTTTAATTGGACAAATAAAAATAATTCTTTGAAATTTAGTATTGGCCATTCATTTCCTATGGGTGCCCATTTTTGGGCATGAATGACAAATTAAGGAGATTTTTTCTAACCACTTAACTTTGTTGAATCGAGTCCTCTTTTTTTGTGTGTGTTCAGGTGGAAAACTTACGAAAAGTAGCCAAGTCTTGAACCGCTCAGATTAAGAAAACTATATTTTTTAAAAAAGGGGATTTTACCCAAATTTGTCCCCAATGACGATTGAGGGTTAAACCCTCATAAATGCAATGGCAACCCCTCTGTGAATGATAGCTTTCAACTTCATTTATTAAAAATAGCGCTGTAGAGCTTGGGTTGAGATAGCAAGATGAGCACAGCGAGTTTCTGAAAATAATAAGATAATGAACAGTAGCTGAAGTGTTTTACAAATAACAACAAAAGAGTAGCTTAGCCAAACTTTCCGCTTAATGCAAACAATGTTCATCAAGCAATAATTTACACAAAACTCCAATAAGTACAACAAAATACTGAGTAACTTACACTTTAGACTCTATGTTGCCAGTTATTTTTGTTCTGCAGACAAAAAAAAAAAGAAGTCTTCAGCGTTTTTGAACGAATCAATCAGTTCAGTGTCAGAGAATGATTCGCTTAAATCAGTCACCTGCTTTCAGAACAAATCAGTGTAGAGAATGATTCAAAGTTTACCTCATAGGCTACGTTTACACTAGTGTGTTTTTGTTTTAAAACGCATAACTTTCGCTTCAGTTACGCCTGTCGTTTACACTACTCCGGCGTTTTCGACCCTCAGAAATGGAGACTTTTGAAATTGAAAACTTCAGGGTTGCGTTTTAGTGTAAACGGACCAAAACTGAGACTTTTGAAAATGATGTCGTGGCTGCCCACATTTGCTTTGCGTATCCTTGACAACCGTGTAAATAATAACATTATGCTCATTGTTGTACCCATAGATATGTATAGGTAGATTCCCCTTTCTACCGCTCCAAGCACGTAGATGTGTCTGCCATCTAAACAATATGGAATCTACCTATACATATCTATGGTTGTACCTGCATGAATGTGTTTTCGTTGTGTAGTGTGGCCTGAGAGAGTTTCTGAAATGCAGTGTAGAATCAGCGAATCAGCGTTTTAAAATGAAAAAGCACTAGTGTAAACAGTGCCATAAATTGTTTCCGGACAAAATATTTTTTTAACGAATGAGTTCAATGAATGATTCAAAGATTCATTAGACAGTCATTTGTCGCCACCTACTGGCGTAACGGTGTAACTTCTAATCAAATCCACTAAAAAATTTAACTATTTTCATACAACACAAGAAATAATGCCATTTTTCAGTGCAAAAAGTTGCACAACATAACTTTAAATCAGAAAGATTTAAATCTTAAATCAAAAATATTTGTTGGTAATAATTTACCTTTGAAAGTATACACTCAGACCAATGCAGGAAAGATAAAAAAAGAGTGCGATAGTGCCAGCGAAAGTTAGAGGAGATAGATAAATAAATTTAGTTTTGTAGGCATTTATTGTCTGAGCCTGACATTAGTTTTGGTCACTGCAGACACTCTCCCAGTTATTTCATTTATCTCCAGATAAATTAACCGAGGCAACTGTATTGAGCTGTAGGAAGTGTCAAGCTTTAGTATCCGTGTCGACTACCAGACAGTTTCTAGTAATTAAAGATTGTGAAAGTGATTTTTTTTCAGGTTCAGAGAGTGGGGGTTTTGAAGAGATAGAGTGTGTTGTAAACTTTGCTACTTTTACTTAACTTAGAACTTATCCTATTGCGATAAAAGTAAAACTAATTATATTTGAGGATGTCTTATATCCATTTACATTTTAAGATAGCATCTATAACATAAGTCCACAAAAATATGACCAAAAAAACAATGTACAGTACTGTTAAAATGTACTACTATAGCTTACCTGATGGATATTACTGAAATTGGCATCTTGAAATGTTAGCAAAATGGAAGAAGGTAGCACTGACTGAAACTGCATACAAAACCCTGCAGATTTACAGTGGGGAAAAAAGAAGAAAAAAACTTTATCACTTGTTTCTCTAGGGTGTCACTTTGGTTACATACATTTATAACATCTGAGAGAGCTAGCTGTTATTTGGTAAGGTTGATAATACCCGAAGAGAGCTAGCTATTAGCATTCATCTCAAAGGCAGTTAGCTTGGTTGTGGTGTTTAAGTCAAAGAAAATGAAGTTATTTAAAGGGATAGTTCAACCAAAAATAAAAAATTTGGTCATTAATTATAACCTCATGTCGTTCCAATCCCGTAAGACCTTCGTTCATCTTTTACCATCTTTTAACACAAATTAAGATATTTTTGATGAAATCTGACAGCTTTCTGACCCTGCATAGACAGCAACGCAACACGACACGTTCAAGGACCAGAAAGGTAGTAAGAACTTAATTAAAATAGTCCATATGACATCAGTTGTTCATGTTCTTTTTGTGTGCAAAGAAAACAAAAGTAACAACTTTATTCAACAATTTATTCTCTTCCATGTCAGTCTCTGGATAAACTCTCACAGGTAAGAATGTGTTGGTGTTTTTAATATGTATTAACTCAATATTACAGGATTATAAAATGGTAACTTTTTAATGCTGCATTAGCTAACGACTTTGTTTTGTTGTATTGTGTTAGTTTAGCGAAGTATTGTGCAGATATATATATATCTGACAGTCTTTGACCATTCCAGAATGACGGACAACGTACATATAGCCGCCCATAGAAACAGCTGCTAATGAGGAATCTATGTATGTATATCTATGTCTGCATATACCAACAGCTGCTAATGTGGTTATGCTAATCTCAACTCTCTGTTAGGAAATTGTGTTTTCCTGCATGGCTTCGACAACATACAGCAATAAATGTCCCATGGAGTTAAGAACGATATTATTCTTGTCTATAAAAAGACGTTTAACTGTAAATCACAGAACAATCGGTTTCTGAAGAGAATACAAGCAACAAATTGTCAGTGAGAACGTTTTAAAGGTTAAATGCTGCAACTCATCATAAACGGCTGCAGATGTCAAAGCAAAAGAGCACCGCCGTATGTTTGTGAACAAGCTGAACCCCACATCTCTGACTAAGTGATGAACGGCAGACTGTCTTTCACGGGAGCTACCCTCCCTATGGTCGTTTGAGTTTACAGGCCACTGCCTCTCAGAGCAATCAGGCCCCAGCAGGCTTTACTGCGCAAAACAAGCAAGCCCGATAGTGTGCATATGAAGGCACTGTAGATCAGCCATCGGTGTCGCTCATCAGAATGTCAAGTCCAAGCAGGGTGAGTCACGGTGAGCCACATTCACTGTCACAAAACACTGACGGTACCACACCAAACCACTCATGGGAATCAGGACAGGAAATAACCATTCCCGACATTGTATGTTATACTTCATACCGGATTCAAAATGAAGCTGTATTTATCTGCTTGAGTAAGTCATCAAATCACATTACCCACAATTCCAATGAGTGACCTAGATGAAGATTAGCTAATGCTGCTGGCACGCATGTCACTTAACACGGCAAAAACCGCATTCAACACACTCTGTTTGGAGCATCTTTTTAAGTGGGAGAACTTGCACAATTGGTGGCTGACTAAATACTTTTTTTCCCCACTGTATATATCCCTCCCTTCCCATGATGCTCTGAAAGGGAAGTAAGTACATATAACAAAAGGAAGTGACATTAATGGATGTGAATCATGTTTGTTTGATGATCTGTTATACGCGTCAAGCACAGAAGCCTGTGGAACAGTCTGGCAAAATGTCTCGCTCAGGAAAACCCAGCCAAGCAAATTAATTAAACACTTTGCCACATGCTGAAACAAACCCATGATTAGAAAGAATCTGGCCAACATCAATGTGAAAATGGTAATTATGAAAATATTGGAGAAAAAAAAAAGTCGCCATTTTCATGAAAAAAAAATTATCATTTAGGATCTAAAATTATAAAAGCTTAGTTCGTCCAAAAATGAAAACTCATGAAGATCATTTACTAACCCTCATGTCATGCCAAAACCTATGTCTTTCTTCCGTGGAAGGATTGATCTGAATTTAATTCAGTCAGCTATTAACTACTGGGACTGAATGACTAGTTCAGTGAGTTGAATCTGAAATCTAATTATTTAGATTTGTGAACTGCATAAAATGATTAAATGACAAATGCAGACTCCAAAAACAATTCAGTTGAATTTTTCAGTGAGTAATTACATTAATTTGGTTCTTTCAGTCTGATCTTTCACACAAAGTTTTTGAATAGCTTCAAAAGACTTGGAATATACTTAAAAACAAGACTCGCTGATTCATTCAATTTTGTGAAATCCATAAACTGATTCACTGAAAAGTAAAAATGATTTGGTCAAGATTTTCTGTGATTACTGACCTTAATTTTGGCCTTTTCTTTTGCACAAAGTTTTTGTATAGCTTTAAAAGACTTGGAATATACTCATAAATCTGATTCATTCATTAATCATTCAGTTTTGTGAACTGCTTAAACTGATTCACAGAAAAATACAGATTCAGTCAATATTTTACATAAATGTTGGTCTGTTCTTTCACACAAGGTTTTTTGTACCTTCAAAAGACTTAGAATACAAAGTTGTCTTTAATGATTATCTTTTGAATATATACTTAATAACTGGATTTGTTAATGAATCATTCAGTTTTGTGTAATACATAAACAGATTCACTGAAAAATACAGATTCACAAAACGATTTGGTCAATAATAATGTTAATTTTGGTCTGTTTTTTTCACACAAAGTTTTTGTATAGCTTCAAAACACATATAATATAGCATATTTATAGCGCAAGTCATGTGGACTACTTTATATTGCTTTTTGTTTTTCATTTTGGAGCTTGAAATTCTTAGTCCTTAGGGTAAAAGTCATAAAAATATATTTTGTTTCCTGCTTACATGCATGAAATGATTTCATTTCATCCAAATGAATACATTTCACCCATGGAAAGAAAATGAACCATAAATATTCTCATTACAGTTTATCAGTTCAGCCAAACTGATTATGTGAGCTGCATAAAAGATTTGAGTCTTTGAGAGCTTCATGGATGAGCATGTCTATTGAGAATAGCAGCATCCTTAGATTTAATACAAGACAAACAAGATCCAGAATGAGGGTTAAGGTAGGGTTACAGTTTTCTTAACCACTTCGGTAATACCTATCGTAGAATATGTCAAAAATTATTTTGAACATGATATAAACGTCTTTGGGAATGTTTTATCAACAGCTAACAGTAATAGGCGTACTGAGCCACACTATCGCTCATTGCATTTAGTCATTTTCATTCACAAGATAGCGAACCACACATCTCTTGATTACCCCAGAGTCTTCAACCTTCCCGAAGCTCTGAATATGTTTATAATGAAATGTCAAGCGCTTCTGAGGATGAGAGCTGAAGAGACGTCGTGGGTTTGTCGTGCCGTGTCGTTTTAGCCTCTAAAGACCGCGCACGCATTTTCAGTTTGAGCTCGGACTGTAATGTGATGAAGGCCTGCTGCTGCTAGTGTCGTTTGTAAAACCGGTGAATTGACAGGAGTGGGATGTTAGCCCGAGGGATTTGTAAAGTGTGGCAAGTAGATTATGCAAATTGAACACGTTATCTTGATCGGTTCTGAAAATAAAAAATACAATGAAAAAATTTAAATGAACTTGAGTGGAGTTTGGGGTGTGTAGAGGATTGAAGGCCTCAGTCTTTTTGATACTTTAATAATTAAGTTAATGTGTATTTAACCCAAAATGACTGTTTGAGGTCTGATTCACCAGGAGCTAGATTTCACCAAGACTCAACAGTTGTGCAGATATACTGTATAGGGGTTTGACTATGATTCAGTTTTTGAAATTAAATTCACACATAGGTCACTGTAAAATGACTTGAATCCACCTCTGCTATAATGAGCAAGTTTCTGAACTAAAATTAATTTTGATATTTTGGCCAGCATAATGTAAAAATTCCCTACACTGATATAATGCTGAATAAAAACAAAACAAAACTTATTAAAAAATTTAACATCATCATCATCATTATTATTATTATTATCATTATTATTATTATTTATAATAAAAGCAGTTTTGGTAAAATATTTTGGTAACACTTTACAATAAGGTTCCATTAGTTAATGTTAGTTAATGTATTAACTAACATGAACAAACAATGAACAATAAATTTATTACAGTATTTATTAATCTTTGTTAATGTTAGTTAATGAAAAAACAGTTGTTCATAGTTAGAAGAAGAAGAAGAAGAAGAAGAAGAAGAATGAGTTTTTATTGCCAGGTATGTTTACACATACGAGGAATTTGTTTTCATGACAGAAGCTCCACAGTGTAACAGAATGACAGTGACAGAACAAAAAACAGATAATAAAAAATAGAAAAATAGAACAAGTAAATAAGGAATAAAAATATACAAATCGACAATTGTATGTACAGGTATATAACAATAGACAGTTGTATGTACAGGTATATTATGTGCAAATTGAAATGTTCTAGATCTGAACAGCACATCTTCTTTAACACAGTTACATCTGTACACCACCTCTCATTGATGTAAAAGCATGTCCCGCCACCGCGCGATTTGGATTTGGGTAGAGAGCGGAGGTTCGCCAGATGGATGCTAGGCAACGGCGTTCTGAATCCGCGCTGTCTGAGCTTCACGAGCGCGCCGGCTCGCTTCCCCCGTCTGCGTGTCCTGAAGCGCTTGATCAGCGCCACAGCTCCCCCGACAACAATGTCCAGCAAAACATCAGAATAGTCGAAAACCGGTGAAATATCGGGTGGTGTGTACTTCCGAATGTCCAGCAATTCGTCTCTGGTGAAACTGATTGCAGGGATATAACTAAAGACAGGACAAACTAACAAAAACATAAAAACAACTGCAGAGCACGCCACGGAGGCAGCCATCAGCATTGGCGCCATTGTGCGTAGTTCATGTTAATTCACAGCGCATTAACTAATGTTAACAAGCACAATTTTTTATTTTAATAATGCAGTAGTAAATGTTGAAATTAACATGAACTAAGATTAATAAATGCTGTAGAAGTATTGTTCATGCTTAGTTCATGTTAACTAATGAACCTTATTGTAAAGTGTTACCAATATTTTTAATATTTGATAATACTTTTGTTTGCCAAAAATAAATAAATAAATACATAACAATTATTATTATTATTATTACTATTATTATTATTACTATTTAAAAAGCTTTTTTTAACTTGTTCGCCATATGATGCACACAATATATTAATATATTAACACAATATATTAATACTTCTTGTATTATTTATTAAATCATCATATTTTAATAATAATAATGATGATGATGATGATGATGATGTTGATGAACACATAAACACATTTTACATTAAATTTGAACTTTTCTTAAAAATGGTATGAAGGTTTTTCAAAACCTAAACCAGCATAAGAGTACATTTCTAAGAACTTGACACGTGTTGTAGACTAGATTTTTAAAGGATTTTTCCTTTTTTTCCAACATGGATACTCTTATTTGTTAAGATAATTCAGATTTGTTCATTTGTCTTATGTAGATTGTCTTGCATGCATTGAAGTTCATGCAAAAAAAATGCCTTAAAATTATTATTTTTTAAAGATTTATGAGTATATTTCCCAGAACTCATAGAGGGATTTGTAAAGTGTGGAATCAAAGTGAAAAAATCTATCCTAATGCAATTTAATGCACTGGATTCACAAATGTTTTATATGGCTTGTAGTGTTCAAAACAATTACAGGTGCATCTCAAAAAATTTGAATATCGTGAAAAAAATCTTTTTTATTTTGTAACTTATTTCAAAAAGTGAAACTTTCATATATTCTAGATTCATGTAAAGTAAAACATTTCAAACGTTTTTTTGTTGTTGTTTTGTTTTAATTTTGATGATTAGACCTTACAGCTCATGAAAGTCAAAAATCCAGTATCTCAAAATATTAGAATATTTCCTAAAATCAATCACAAAAAGGATTTGTAAAACAGAAAAGTTCTTTAAAGTATGTTCATTTATGCACTCAATACTTGGCCGGGGCTCCTTAATCATAAACTCCAGCATCAGTGAGGTGTGGCATGGAAGCGATCAGCCTGTGGCACTGCTGAGGCACTATTGAGCCTTCAGCTCAACTGTATTGTTGGATCGACTGTTTCTCATCTTTCTCTTGAAAATATCCCATAGATTCCATATGGGGTTCAGGTCAGGCATGTTGGCTGGTCAGTCAAGCACAGAAATATCATGGTCAGCAAACCAGTTGGAAGTGGTTTTGGCACTGTGGGCAGGTGCTAAAGTCCTGCTGGAAAAGGAAATCAGCATCTCCATAAAGCTTGTCAGCAGATGGAAGCATGAAGTGCTCCAAAATCTCCTGGTAGACGGCTGCATTGACTTTGGACTTGATAAAACACTACAGACCAACAACAGCAGACGTCACGGCACCCCAAATCATCACGGACTTCAGAAACTTCACACTGGACTTCAAGCAGCTTGGATTCTGCGCTTCAGTCTCCTCCAGACTCCAGACCTTGATTTCCAAATGAAATGCAAAATTTACTTTATTTGAAAATAGGACTTTGGACCACTGAGCAACAGTCCAGTTCTTTTTCTTCTTAGCCAAGGTAAGATGTTTCTGATGTTGTTTCTGTTTCAGTAGTGGCTTGGTAGCCCTTTTCCTGAGCGTGGTGACTCTTGATGCACTGACTCCAGCTTCAGTCCACTCCTTGTGAAGCTCTCCCTAGTGTTTAAATCGACTTTGCTTGACAGTATTCTCAAGCTTGCGGTCATCTCTGTTGCTTGTGCACCTTTTCCTACCCAATTTCTTCCATCCAGTCAACTTTGCATTTAATATGCTTTGATACAGCACTCTGTGAACAGCCACCCCTTTCAGTATTGCCCTTCTGTGACTTACACTCTTAGTGGAGGGTGTCAATGATTGTCTTCTGGACCATTGCCGAGTCAGCAGTCTTCCCCATTATTGTGGTTTCAAAGAACAAGAGATACCTGGGATTTACACTGAGGGATGGTCATTTAATGAAACTCAAATGTAAATATTCTAATATTTTGATATACTGGATTTTTAATTTTCATGAGCTGTAAGCTCTAATCATCAGAATAAAAAAACTTTTGAAATGTTTTACTTTACATGTAAAGAATCTAGAATATATGAATGTATCACTTTTTAAAATAAGTTACAAGAAAAAAATAAACTTTTTCACGATATTCTAATTTTTTGAGATGCACCTGTATATGACTGCATTCACTGACAAACACATATAACCTCACAATCACATTTTCACAACCGGCCAGTACAAGAGACTATTGTCGAGACAATCTTTCTGTAATTTGTCAAACAATGTTTGCTATGACCTAACTTCAGCAAAAGGGGACAGCCCTTTGATATTTAACATACATGCAATTCCAGAGCCTTCTAAAAATAGGAGGAGGAAGATGACATCTCTATATCGGAGGGCAAATGAGCACTCTGCTCTCTGACCTCATCCCGCTCTGAGACACGAGGCAGAGGAAATATTTCTCAAAATGCCATTTCAAATGGCAACAGCATACAAAGCCACATTCATTAAAAAAAAAATAACATAACAAAATAAAATAACTTAAATTAAAATAAAATAATAAAATGAAATATAAAAAATAATAAAGCATTATAATTGATCAGAAGAACTGATAAACAATATTTTATTTTTAAAAAGCAATAGGATCAAAACCTGGTGCAGAACTCAATTCAAGGTCTTGAGCATTCATGCAGCTATTCGATCAATTCTGCTTGAGCTAAACGTGGGAATCTGTCCAGATATACTGTTGCAGCCGCTGCGAGATATGATCAGGCAATGCTCTATCAGTGCTACAACTTCCGCCAAATGCACACACACACTGTCAGCAAACTGCAAATTCATCCTCGCCATTCTAATTTAACTCTGTTCTTATGATTAATGGGATCTCATGTCTTGGAATTCAAATTCTGATAAGGAAAGAGGATTAGCTCCTGAATGAGAGAGAGACAAACATAATAAAAATGCAATTTTTCTCCTTGTTCTTCTGAGTGTTTCAACAACATTTTTGGTCAGCACTGAATAATGGAGTTCATTGCTAATTAACTATAGATGTAATTTACTGATTGTTAGTAACTTCTGTTTTAAAAGTATCTTCACACAACGCCTCTTTTTAGAATGTGACATTCTCACCTCTCTGCATGACCAATTCATGAGATCTTCAATGCACAAGAGATGAAAAAGTTGAAGCAAGTTAAGCGACTCAGAATTTCTCCCCTGGGCAATGAACATTCACTCGTTCAACTTCAAAACACATCAGCAACTGTATTACAATATCTTAAACATCACTGTAGAACATCACTGTAGATCAAGATGCAGAGGAGTGCCTCAGGGTTACGTACTGGGGCACAACTCAATTTTCGTTTGACATAATTTTACCCAAGTGTTGAGGTGAGTACCTCAAGGCTATGTATCTGGGCACATTTCATTTTGCTTTGGACTTCATTATACAGTAGATAGGAGCTCAGGAATACCTCAAGACTATATAAGGGGGCCATTCCTGTTATGCAATACCTTGTGAATTCTATAATTTATGAATACATAAATAAATGTGTGTTGTAATTAAAGCCAGACTATGTTTAAAAAGAGTATACAAGACTTTTATAAAAAGGTTCTGGTCAACCTGAAACAATTCAACTTTATTATTAATTATAACTTCATTAATAACTTCATAATTTATAAATCAATTAACAATTAAAATAATAATTTGAAATAATATTACTTCTGTATTCTGTAAATATAGTATATGTTTTGTTTGAAATGTTTTTGAGAAAAAAAGCGTGCATATTTTTAAAATAAATTGCCAGTTCTTTTATGTTAGAAGTTGCATAGCTTTGTTAAAAATGGCAATATAAATAAAAGTAGTTAAATTATTTAAAATTCACACCATGTTCATGTTAGTGTGATGCTGTGATTCATCGAGGCATTACCACAATAAGAATGAGAACGTTTCTGGCATTACAGAAATGAAAATTGGATAAAAGTAAAACAAATAAAAATAGTTATGACAATGCAGCACCATTTGTTAGAAGTTACATAGCTTTGTCAAAAATGGCAATATCCACACAAATCAAAATAATTAAATTATTTAAAAAATCACACAATGTTAATTTTATTGTGATTCTGTTATAGAAGACAAACTAATATGTTATATTAATTATTATTATTTTCATTTTAACATTTATCCAGTATATTAAGACATAAAAAGTATTGCATAATAGGAATTACCTAGCATTTATCGCTGAGAATCCCATAGGCTATGTCCTGGGGCACAACTCATTTTGCTTTAGACATAATTAATTATAGACACAAAGCAAGGAAAAACACATGGCACTTGATTAACACGTGGGTTCAGAGCAGCAAACGCAGTCACTCGTGGTGAATTCACAGAGCTGACGTCTATTACGCACACCCTAGAGCTTCATTTGCGCATTTACCATTAGAACCTATAAGCGAATTCGCACTAAACTCGATTTATAAGTCTGAAATCCATTCACTTACCTTCGTCATGCATTCTCTGCAGGCAAAAAGTCAGGTTTCTCCTCCAGCTTGGCATGGCAAATAACTAAGAGTAATGCGTTATGCGGAGAGAGGCGCAAACAGACGCTCGTTTGTGGTGATGATGGACAGGGAGCATGCGGCCGGAGATGTGTCGGTGGTCAGGTGTATCGTGGACAGATCCTGTGGTGTTCATGCAGTGGTCCATGAGCGGGCATAAGCCGTCACTCCTGAGAGCGGAGCGCAAATGACTCACGAGTGTCACCGCCTCACCAAAGTGTGTGAACGCGTGGCCCGCCGGAACGCTCTCAGATCCACGCAATATGCCACAGCAAACTCATTAACCCTTACCTTCTGATGGGCTCGGAGAAGTACACATCCTACCGTTCGAGACTCTACTGAATAATTAGCATATTCATACACCACGGGTTAGTTTACATATCCTCCAAGGTACTGTATGGTGTGTAGATGGTAGGCTACTTTGTTAGTAGAAAGATCCTTTGACGTTTTAATTGGCTAAACATTACTTCTCTTAATTTTAAGAGAAAATTCTCAACTATTTGAAATGATAAAACTATATTTTGCATACATTTTATTTGTTATACATTGTGATACAATGACTGAAGCACACCGCCTGTCTTCAACATATTTGTACTAATTTCAGTTTAAATGCAATAAAATAAATTATTTTTAATGATTTAGTTTTATTTGAAAACCATTTATATAAAACATTTATGTTTTATAACACTAATATTATATATTTTATATATAATAGAGTATATTTTTGTTGCATGAAGAAAATTGTGTTTGTTATATATTGTGATATCATTTTTAATGACCATGAAGCACATTCCTAGTAAAAGTGAGAATCATCTTTGCATTTTTAAATTAATATCATCTTAAGACAGTTAAAAATACTACTTTTTAAAATTAATATCACCTTACAAATAGCCCCAAAAATGTTACAAATAAATTATGAATTAATAATTAAATTATATAATACATATTAATCAATAATTGACAATATATTTTTAAATACTTATTAAAAAATATATTATTTTTATAAAGAATATTTGTTATTTGTTATATATTGTGATCAAATTAATGATAATGAAGCACATGCCCTAATGTAATAAAGTAAAAGTGGAAATCATCTTGCCCAAACTTTTGCTCCAATTACATTTTATAAATTTAATTATATAATTCATATTTTTTTTTAAATATACTATTTAATTAACTTGTATATCCAAAATATCTGTAATTATTTTTATTATTTAAAAATGGCTAATTAATTAAATTTTTGTCATTATTACCATAAATTAGAATTTTTTTAATATTAAAGGAATGAGAATTAGAAGTAAAAAAGCTTAATAAATACATACATGTCACAATGCAAAAAAAATAAAAATAAAAGTTTAGTGCAAGTATTTATGCAAAATATGGTAAAAAAAAAAAAAATACAGGGTTTAAACTTCAGCAATATTGGTCTGCAAATTTTGATTTGGTAATAGGAGCAACAGAATCTAAAAGAAAAATGGGAACTGTGTACTGAAAAATGGTGAAATGTACTGAAGATGAGTGATTTGGCTCCTGTAATATGAGTAAGAAACTTGTCAGAACTGCAAACCGATAGTGCTAAGCCGATGTGTAACCCAGTGTGTGAAAATACGCATTTCTCTACACAATCAATCAACCTGTTATTCTAAGTGACACTTCACTTGCGCTTGTGAGAGGCTGGAACACATTTTGGAGTTTTTCCCCCCCCCATTCCAGATGCAAACTCATAACTGGAGGCTGAGGGAGGGTTGGCAGGCCTCTGTGCTGATCTCCTGAACCCTTGGGCAACTCTGCCAAATCTGTAACCGAGGCATAATTTAATATGACAGTAATGGAAACAACTGCCATAGCACGTTCACGCTGGATGTTTAGATGGCATGTTTATTTGACAGATTTTGCAGGTGATGCCAACCGTTTCATTCATGGTTTGGTTGTTTTATGGTGCTCCAGGTATTGCAATTTGAAATATGTTGCAAAGTCAACATGAAACGCTGTTTGCAACCATTTATTCCTATGCTCTTATGGCAATTTGTAGCTATTTTGTGTTTTGGCAAATTGGTGGATAATTCGTATGGATTTGTACAATTTTTATTCATACCTTCTCATACGACCTTTGATGGTTAGGTTTAGGAGTGGATTGTCATGCTTTTTTCTGAACAATAAAAAAAACGCACGTACAGATCATATATTTGCATAATTAGCGTACACTTCACTCCCATATGTATGCGATTCATATGGAAGCTTATTTCCGCCACAGAATAAAAATATAAAAGTTTATTGCGAGATTATATCTCACTATTTGGACTTTTTTCTCAATTGCGAATTTATATCACTCAATTGCGAGTTCACATGTAGCAATTCTGAATTGTAAAATCAGAATTCTGTGAAATTACATCTCGAGAAAATTGTAGCGCTCCAAAAAAAATAAATGCAATTTATAAAAAATATTTTTGTAGACTTTTTAGTCTTGAGTGGTTAGCCACCCTCTTGCTAATTTGTGAAATTACATCTCGCAATTATGAACTCACATTTCTAACTTTTCTCTATGAATTCTGGGTTTACATATTGCTGTTAATAACTCGCGATTCTTAATCGAGACTTAATTGAAAGTTTATGACTTGCAATTGTGAGAAAAACAGTCTAATTTTGCGATAAAATGTTGCATTCTGGTAAAAATGTATGAATAAAAGATATTTTGAAAAATGTTGGTAACCAAACTGTTGCTAATTGCACAAAATTGTACGAATTTGTATTTTATTTTACTAGGTGCCAAATTCATAGGAATTCGTACGAAGGACCACCTCTTAACTCCGCCCCTAAACCTACCCCTTACACAAATCGCATCAAAAACGTACAAGCAAAGTCGTACGAATTAGCCACCTCGTAAAATACATACGAATTGGTGGTGGGATAGTGTTGTATATACTCACAATACATTCTTTATAACCATTATATTGTATGTAATTAAACTGTAGACAACAATTTAATGACATTATTACGAAGAAGAAAACAAGTTAGTTATAGTTTAATATAGAAAACTTTATTCTTCAATGGTCGTGTTGGTCTTGAAACACCATTGCACCATATTTGGACTAGCTTTCATTTATCAACTTTTTTTTTAACTTCTCCATTAATTATTTCTCAACATAATTGACATGTTAAGAACTTTTACAAATAATACAAATCAGCTCAAACATCCTGTTTGGAAATGAACCAATGGAAACGATCTAAAAAATAAAAAAAAATCAGGGAAAGGTTGAAAACCAAAACAAAATTTCATATCCGCTCCGCCGTATGGGAGTGAGATGCACTTTTAATGTTCAAGAAAAGTTTCTGAGGGCAGAACGATGTCTGATTGGAGGTGTGAGAGAGGAGACGGGCTTCACTGCTCGTTCTGCTGGCTGTCTGTGATGGAGCTCACGGCCCCCTGGCCTTTGTTGACGTCACTGATACAAGCCCACTGTCCATCCACTGACTCCTTCCACAGGGTCACCTATGCGCAAAAGTCAATTGGAAGCATAGTAAATGACGTGCTTTTCAATTTTGGTTGAACAATCCCTATAAAAACACCAGCAGGTTAGACGTCAAATTTCCAGGTAATATCACAGTGATTTAAGTGAGCGTTTTATTTGTCATTAAACTCATTTGATTATCTATTCTTTAAATAGTTCACTCAAAAAAGAGAATTTGCTTAATGTATTCACTCTCAGACCATCCAAGATGTAGACGAGTTTGTTTCTTCATCAGAACAGATTTGGAGAAATTTAGCATTTCATCACTTGCTCACCAATGTATTCTTTGCAGTGAATGGGTGCCGTCAGAATGAGAGTCCAAACAGCTGATAAAAACATCACAGGAATCCACAAGTATAATCCACACCACTCCAATCCATCTTTTAAAGTGCGAAGATACGTTTGTAAGAAATTAACTGATGGACTGGAGTGGTGTGGATTGCTTGTGGATTACGGTGATGTTTTTATCAACTGTTTGGACTCTCATTCTGACGGCACCCATTCACTGCAGAACATCCATTGGTGAACAAGTGATGAAATGCTGAATTTCTCCAAATCTGATCTGATGAAGAAACATTTTTTGAGTGAACTTTTTCTTAAGAAAAACTCATTACATCTTGGATGGTCTGAAGGGGAGTATATTTTCAGCAAATTTTCATTTTTAGGTTAACCATTTCTTTAAAACCGTCTATTAGTGCTTTAAACCTTAGTTCAAAATGTATAACATTTATAACTAATAACACAGTTCAAATGGTCAATTTGAATCAATTCATTTAAAACTTCATATATACAAAAGCATAAAAAGCTAAAGTAATATGCAATTAAAATAAATGTGGGTAAACTACTTATTACAATATATTGGGGGATATGAATAACAATCTTTTTTCAATATTTAATAAATTTTTTAAACTATACTGTATTTAGCTCTTTAAGCATTTTGAATTGAATTTGCTACAGTAGTTGATTTGAAAAGCCATTTTAAGCAGTTTCAGAGTAAATGCATACATTATTGTTCAAATGTTCTGGATTTTTAAAGAAATACTTTTATTCTGAAAGTATGTGTTAAATAGACTGGTTAGTCAGGTTAGAGGCTGTTAGGAAAAAGCAAACATGTCTTCCTGTTCCAGGGACAGTGACGCAATCTTGCTCATCTTGGTAGGGTAAGATAATTTTGGCAAGCAAAAATTGTTGATTTTATTATAATGCAATTTATTTGAATGTTTCCAAAAACAGTGTAAGAGCTTTTCAGATCATCTTTTGTTCTCACCTTGACATCTTTTTAAGTACATCGATTTAAGGGCTTTTTGCCAGAGACAAATTCAATCTGACCACATCAAACCTGACCAATGACAAATGCCATGTATACTTTTGCTGGTTGTTGTGCCATATGTTCTTTTGAAATCACAGGATTCCCGCTGCACAAGTTCACATCCTGTGTCCTGCCTCAGAAAGAGGGACAAGCGGATTCTACCATGTTCAGTGCCTGTTCTTGTGGAGGTGTGAAGTATTCAATGGGTGTTTTGCATATCTATGAAGGGTGCAACACCATTCGATGAAGATCTCTCACACAGGGCTGAAAGGAGAACAAAGACTGACCAGCTGCAACTGCAACAAATCTGGACCAGAAGACTGAAGATGACATCTGCACAGTACAGAAAGCATGTTTTCATGGACTGTGTCACCTTTTGCCTCTTAAAGTGTGGCCAACGGTGCCAAGGGGCGACTTTGTAAGGTCAAAAATTATCAAAGATTTCTGCTTTCCTGTCCCAAACCTATCTTCAG